CGTGAGGGCGCAGTACTTATGTAAAAATAACTTATAACAACACCTAGTAAGCCATTCTGGTGGCCTGTGGTGACAAAGGTTCCTTGAACACAACAGTATTTATATAACTATCATTGATCTATAATTAAAATAAACAAATAAATCGAGTAGAAATAATAGAAACTTGAATTTTTAGTTTTAATAAGACACACATGTAACTTACTGAGTTTGGCAGCTGTATGAAACCCCGTAAAAAATAATATGCTTAGATATTTAAATCGACAAAATTATATTAACCGACCAATCCTAATTAGTTTAAATCAGCGATAATTCACAGGAAAGAAATCACTGAGTATCATTATGTAGTTGGGATCGTTTAATGATAAGTTTTTGTCATTATATCTGGCCATTCTGGGGTTCTAGGAAAGAAAATATTCGGAAATAAACTCTAAAACAAAATGACATGTTGCGTTTCTTAATGGCTCAATCGTATTATTTTTTAATTTTGCAGCTTCATTTTAAGAATCACCCATAAAATAATGGGTGAAGACAGAGCCAGATTAAGAGTTTGGGAAGTCTTAGGCCATTTTAGATGTTATAAGGAAGACCGAGAGAGAGAGAGGCCTTGAGTAGGCATAAAAAAAGCCTAGATTTCTGTAATAAAAATGTATTTATTACACTATAAAAGAAAGCACATTACTTCTAACCCTAAAAGTGAACACAGCCATGCAAAAAAAATAATAAAAAATACTGTTTAGGAACTGTGTACTAACATGGCATGTACTCCCCATTTTCATAAGCTCAAATTCACATATGTAACTAAATATTTCTTGAAAACATAGATCATAGCACAGATTAGACTGCCCTTTTACGAGCGTTACTACGAGAAAAATTGTCTAGAATGTCTTCAAAGTTCAATGTTCTAGTAATGGAATATTCAATGGCCGAAATAAAAAGGTCTCACGATCAATCTTGAGCAACAGTGGAGTGTAACCTATTTTTCACACACTTGAGAACTGAAAATGATCGTTCTCCTTCTATGTTTACCACTGGTAATGTCAGGTAAATCCGCAGTGCTATTTCAACACTTGAAAACACTCCGCCAATTTCAGATTCTCGATTATGCTAAACAAGGAACAAAATGTGCAAGTTGTTTTCTGTTTTTTTATCCTTTGTTGAACTTCTGAATATTTTCCGGCCATATTTCTGGCGTTATCATAGCTTTGACCCCGACAGTCAGAAATGGGAATTTCCAGGTCATTCGATGAACTAAGAACCACATTTGTCAGAGATTTAACGTCATGCCCTTCGATCACAATGAATTTTAGAAACCTTTCAACTAGCGTCCCATCTGCACTTATCTAGAGTAATATGAAAGTTAACTGATCTAAGTGTGTAATATCTGGAGTCGAATCAACACTTATGCTCTAGTATTTCGCTGACTCAACTTCAAACACAACAACAGCTAAAACCCGTTTTGCCATCAACTGTATAAACCCATTGCAAATTGTTGATGAAAGATACGAAGGGATACCACATCCTGCACTGCCATATCCGTTGGGATCATCTGCCAGGAAAGCATCATAGTGTGCCAGCAATTCGATTATTCCAAGAAAGATGCCATTGTTATCAGAACCTATCTCTTCATTTTGACCTCGGAAGAGTAATCCTCTTCAACTAAAATCATTATAATAGAAACCAGTCTTTTCAATGTATTCCTCTAGTTCTCTTATTGTTTTCTTAACTGCATAAAGAATGTCTTATCTACTTGCCCAATTTATTTTACTATAGAACAGCATACAGAAATAGACTCTCGATGTAAAATGATGTTTTCATGTTCTAAAAGGCGATAGATATTTTTCCAATCATGGAATCCTGTAAGTAATGCTGTTTGATTAGAAGAGGAAAGTTTACAAATGTAGCATAAAAACCATGTCAGTTGACTCTGAAAAGATCATCCACTTTCTCCTCATTCTTTCTCCATTAGCAAGCTTCCGATAAAAATGTTCTTTATTTAAATATCTGGTTCTTCCATCGTTATAAATCTTAGCAGAGGTTTTCATGTTGAGTAAATCTAAGTTCTGTTCAAGCTTCTTCTTCTAAAAAATAAGCACGTAAATGTTCTATTATGGCAGTCTACAATGCTGGATCTCCAGGAAATGTGATCACTTGTTCTTCGGAAGAAATACCACTTTCCTGCTGTTGTATTGCTGCATCTCAGGCTCTGGCATATTGCCTTCCAAATCTTTTCCTGCTGTTGTATTGCTGCATCTCAGGCTCTGGCATATTGCCTTCCAAATCTTTTCCTGCTGTTGTATTGCTGCATCTCAGGCTCTGGCATATTGCCTTCCAAATCTTTCTGTATATTTTTGGGTGGTCCGTCTGTTGCAGGTGTCAATGATTCTTCAGTTATTTCTGCAGACGAACAATTTGCCCAAGGCATGAAAATTTCACTGACTTTTTTTAATTGTTTGACTGTTCAACTTATCTCTTATTTCCCGTTCTTGCTTCCTCATTCTTTTCTGATGTCTACTATCATATGAGCGGACAATATCTTGTTCATGTCCGGCCATACATTTACATTTGGGATATATGACAGACTGAGAAATGTAACGTCGAGATCTCCGATTCGCATGTAAGTGTAGTAAGTAGCTATTATTTGTTGTTTCTTTATGATTTGCCAATAGTAGTCGACACAGGTATTGAACGTGCGACGGTTATGGGGATAGATCTGTCTATCTATCCCATGATCTATTTATCTGTTAAATTATCTATCTATCCAATCATCTATTTGTCTATTCAAATTTAATTTATAGAAATTGGCGAAAGCTTCATCCCGAAACCTTAGGTGCTGATCCCTAGGCCATGGTCTATGCCTTAATCTGGCCGTGTATGACTGTCTCTAATAGTGGTGGGCCCTGGGCAGCTGATTGTCATTTTCAATAGGAGAGACCGGGGCTAGTTGTTACAGGGGCAGTTGATACAGTGCCTCTAGCTCTTGTTGAGATTAATAGACGGCGATAGTTCACGCACCATCGAACACGCGTTGCACAAGCTTTGTTTTAATGGCGGCATGAATAAGATCAGTCACGAAATAAAAAAGATATGTACATGTTCTGTTTTTGCATACCTAAACTAAAAAAAAAGGTCCAGGAAATATCTATTTACTCTTTACATGCCGTGTTTTGATACTGTTCTTAATAAGTGGGCTCATTATGATTGCACAGCAGGTGAAACTCGTGGTCCATATATTTGTGAAAATTGTGATTGTGACACAGACTAGAACTATAACCATTTTTGTTTTAAGTTTTTCGATCATGGAACAATGATTCTTATATGTTTAAATAACGTTTCAAGATTTATTTTATCGTGTAATAAATAATAAATTCATTACAATATAATTATGTTTGAATTGTCGTTTTAAAAGTTTTTTATCGTATAATCATTAATAAATTTATTAAGCCTACAATTATTATATCGCATTAACATTTAGAAAATCTGGAATAATTACTGAAATTAGGCTTATAATTTAACATGCTAAATGTTATGAGAAAACTACAGTAGACCTATTATAACATTTATCATGATAGAGTAGGCTAATTTTGGTAGATATTCCAGATTTTTTTTTATTGTATAACAACATGCCCCACCTATTATATCAACTTACCCCTCATCTGGGGCATATTGTTACACTTGACTTTACTTCAAAATATTTACAAAATCTTTTATGTAACCAATTTTGTTCGATAT